TTTTTTTTTTTTTTTTTCGTATCCCGGATACTTTGCACCGAGCGGTTCTCGAGCGTTCCCGGGGCGAAAGGCAAAGCCTCGTAAATCCGACAAAGAGAAACCACCATCTGGAAAAGCACGAACGAAAGGGATTCGTTAAACGCTCATACAGGAATTATCCTGCATGGCGTTCTAAATGCCGCAGAAGGTCGGATAACAATCGATTATCATGGCTCGACACAGAGCAACACTCCGTGTTTCCAGCGTGCAGGATGATCCTGCGTCGGAACGGAAGGGTAGAGTAGGTAGAGAAATGTACGCTTAGGCATTAATTTGCATTCTCGGTAATCCTTAATTTACAACTCCGCCGGAGTTTTCCAGAGGGTAGCATCGGCGAGTTCTCCGCGGAATTGGCTCGGTGTGCACCCACACTTTGCCGTGGCAGAAACACGTAGAAGAGAGAGTGTGCTGGTGTGCACGATGGTGGGGCAAAGTAAGGGGTAGTGGCGGAGGGTAAAGTGGGGGTTGGATATCGAAGGTGCAGCAGAGTCGGACGACGAGAGGGGCGGAGGGTGGAAGGAAAAGGGATTCGGTAGACAGGGGCTGTGGCTGGGGCTGGATAGTCGGACTGGTCTCGATGGTGGGGGATGGGGGATGAAATGGCGGAATAGGAAAGGGGTAGGGGACAGTGGTGGAAGGACGAAAAGAGGGGCGATGGACGGAGGTCGAGAGTCGCGGGTTGGCTCACTCTGCGGCTCCCGCCGCTCGGGAGCAGACACGCGGGGCCAAAGACTAATTTGAACCTATTTTATTAACAAAACAAAAACATACATATTTGTAAATAACACAAAATAACACGAAATACACACGTCTCCTAAAGTCTCTTACCTACTCTAAAGAAAAAAAAAAAAAACTCTTAGACCTCTGTAAAAAAGAACAAACAAAAGAACACGGAACGCAAGCGACAAAGTAACTATTTCCAGTCCCCGAGCGAGTCGTTACGAAGCCTAAAACGCAAGGAAAAGGAGGATACGCGAGGATAAGCGAAGGAGTAAAGGGAGAACGATAAACGGAGAGAGAGAAAGAGAGAGAAAGAGAGAAAGAGCGAGAGAGAGAGGGAGGTCTATCTTCCGAAGCTCTACCACTGGTGGTGTGTCGGCAAGGGAAAGGCGCGCGTGCGAGAAAGAGAGAAAGAGTGATAGAGGGAAAGAAGGGTGGAAGGAAAGGAAGGAAGGAAGGAAGGAAGGAAGGAAAGACGGACGGACGGAAGGAAGGAAGAAAGGGAAGCAAGGAAGAGAAACAGAGGAGGAAGTAAAGGATCGAATGCGGTAAAGGCAATCGTAAAACGCGTCAGCTGCGGGCGAATCTCTTTTTAAGTTCTCTCTGTACTGTGTGACCCTTACGTTATTTTGTCCCTCCGATAGGGACAGGTTCAGTGTTGTAACTTAGGATATAAGAAGAATAAGAGCTCCTGGAACGCACAACGAAAGGAAAAATAATAAAAGGGGAAAGGTAGAGAAAGAGAAGAAGAACGAGAGAGGGAGTGTGTGCTTGGCGAGAGAGAAAGAGAGTGGTGTGCGAGCGAGAGCGAGAGAGTGAGAGTGAGAGGAAGAGGGAGAGAGGGAGAAAGATAGAGAGAGTGAGAGAGAGAGAGAGAGAGAGAGAGAGCGAAAGGGAGAGGGAGAAAGAGAGGGAGTGAAAGAGAGAGATTCGAGAAAGGACTGAGGAAAAAGGATTCTAGCGGAAAGAGAGAAAGAAACAAGGTCGAAGAGGTACAGAGAACGCTAAGAGATAAGGGTAGACAAAGCGAAGAGGAAGGAAGATTCGTGAGAGTATAGAATACAATGGAGCTACAGTTTTTTATACTAATACGAGGTATCTAAGACGAATCGAAAGGAGAGGCAGAAGAGAAAGTATATTTCGAGGAGAAGAAGCCGGAGGTGCGATCTTGTATGTCATTTCCACGCGTCTACCTCCACGTGTGTTGTTCGTTACACGACACGACGAGAAAAGTCTGCAACGTTCGTTGTGAATAATATATATATCTCTCTGTGACTCTTGATTTCTTTTCGAGCAGCGGGCTAAATCGATCATTGACATTCGAACCGAGGGTAGAATAATTTGAACGAACAACCTGGCTCGCGTACACGATTCTTTGGGGGATATGTCCTGCCGTTCTAAGGGGAATCACCACCCACGTGCACGAGCCTCACGTCGAGGACAACGTCAAGCGAGTCGTGTTTCCATCCTAGAACCCGGCAGCAAGCTCTCCTGACAAAAAGAGTGCCGTCGTAGCTTGTCACGGTCTAGAATCGCGAACACCGACCATTGTCGAGTCGCCATATCAACCGCACACTCGTCCAAACTCACGAGGAGCCTGGGGATGCCTGCGAGAGCACAGAAACGATCGCGCTACGCGTATGTTCAAGGACGATGACGATCGGCCACGATCGGTAAGATCCAAGAAGCGGTGGCTCTGACGAGCGCCACGGAAATGGCGGGCTACAATCATTCGAATCCACAGCGTGTCGTCTATCACGCGACCTACCCGACGCCTCTCGCACCAAGTGAGTCCTTATTTTTCTCTTACGCCACACGAGGATTAGCAAAAACTACCCCTATACGCTTTCCCGATACTCGACCGTAAGAGACTCTGCTGGCGTTTACGCAGTGATTGCCATTTTCTTTTATTTCCACGTCGTCGCGACAGCTAGACCAAACGATCTTAGACCTTTCTTTGCAACGATCGCCACGTTTTCAGTTTCAGTTTCCATTATGGCTTCTTCCGCTTTCGCTTTCGAGTACCGTTCCATTTCGCGTCCGGTCAGTTTTCTACGCGTACGCTTGTTCCAGAGACGTTAGAAAAATGCACGAAACGCTGCAGGTATCGCCGATGAATTATCAGAGAAGCAAGAAAGTGCAGCTGCACTACCGGGGTGGTATCAATAACGTCGTAGGCAAACCCGGGCTGGCAAACCGAAATATTTCATCCAACGAACAGCCGTTTCCTTAATGTCTCGGCGCGTCGATACGCGTAATTTATCAGGATAATTTATGCACCGACCATTTTACGTTTTACGAAGAGGAAGCCCTCGAGTTACCTCGCTAGTTCGAAATTGCTCCTTTTCACCGTGGAACTGTGATCGTGTATCGCTATATTTTTCTCTGTCGATGCTTCTTGGCCAACGATTCATAATGAGTCGTAGCACACGACCCAGAAAATTAAATCATTCGTTTGAATTCTTCGTTTGAATGCGCGATACGATACGAGTATTATTTAAGCTCCTCGTCGTATGCTTAACGAGAAAAGGAAAACTTTCCTTGGCCCTGTGTACGTACTTTCTTTTTTCTCCCCTCCTTACGAATAAATTATGAGTTTAAATTCTCGGGAAAGTAACATTATGCACGGGAGAAGTGCATTACTTTTAGAACTCTTGTTTTCTTGCTCTTGCACACCGGTTATGTTACGATCGATAGCAGCTTCGATCCGTTGCATATAAACACGACTAATGATGTGTTATGCAAACGTCTAAGCTTTCGTCGAAATAAATATGCGAGTACGAATTATGCTAACTCGCGTGATACGGGAACGATCAGATTAGCCAGCACTCGAATGATAGAACGATCTAAGCCTAAAATTATCGGAACTATCGAGTTCCTTCGAATTTCGGGAACCATTTCTCCGCCAAAAAATGAGAAAAAAAAATAAAAAATAAAAAATTCGAACCGTTTACAGCAGCTTTTCATCGCGTTCGTTTTTTCTTGCTCTGTTTAGACGGAGATCCGATAAAACTTCCGGAGAATTTGGAGACCTTGCCACGAGCTGAACATTTTCCAACCCAGAGGCACCGATGGAACACCAACGAGGTGAGTCGAAAACCGATTATTTTTAACTTTAAATTCTATAAAACGTTTCGTCCGATGCTCGGTCTTTTTTTTTTCGTTGGCTCGATTGAGAAGAGAGGGAGGGAGAAAGAGAGAGAGAGAGAGAGAGAGAGAGAGAGAGAGTGAGGGGTGGAAAGAGAAAAATTATCCGCGAGCAGGGAAAATTCGAGGGAGTACGGGTTGGCGAGTGGAAAAAAGCAGGTTAAAAAAAGTAATGTCTCGGTCGAATTGCAACAAAAGAGCATACAGTTTCCTAGCAGCACCAACTGGATATACATTTACACGGCATTCCAGTAGGCACAACTGGAAAGTAAATAGCGACGTCGCAACGCCGTTGGTGGCTCGTACGTAGCGTCGGTGGTTAGAGAGGATAGATGCTGTCCGTCCGTGTGCAAGCTCACATCGGTGTGCAGGGGTGCACATACCAACACGTGGAGCACCGTGCACTCGTAGGTGTACCGATGTAGTCCACTGCTACTCTGACCCCGGTCGGCCTCCGATCAATAGCTGGAGCCAGCTAGAGAGCTCAGCCGAGCCGAGTTGAGTTTTCAGTTCCGTCGAGTCGAACCGAATTCCGAGCCTAAGCTTGCCCCCCGTTTCTATCTTTCCATCGCGATAACTCTCTTTTCCTCCGTTTCTCTCTCCGCTTTTTTTCCCATCTTTCATTTTCCATGTTTCTCCCTTTCCCCCACCCCTCCTTTCCCCGGAGCCACCCTCGAAATGCCAGCCGGGGTAGTAGCGAGTGTACCCGATGATTCGTGAAGCTAACGTCAACTCCTCACCCCTTATCTCCTTGCTCTTACCGTGTCTCCGAGATTAATCTCGTGGACCAGGGAAAGTTCGGGATCGATTTCGTTCGGTGATTCCGTTATCTCGAAAGTTTGATTCCTAGGATTTTTCGTTTGCCTTTAACCGATCCTCGAGGGTCGTCGTTCAAAGTGTGCAAGTCGCCTCTTGTTTCGCTTATCTATCGGGGTGTAATATGCCTCGCTAATGAGGTCAACTTGCAACTCGAGCGCTGCATCATCTTTTTATATTCTCTATCGTCTAAGTTTTCGCCGTTGACGTAGCTTTGACATGGAATTATCGGTATCATAAATATGAATGAACCCCCACCCTGTTATCGGTGTCTTTGAAATTCGAAGAGGGCACAAAGTATCGCTATTAATATTACGTCGATTCATTTTTCTTTCTTTCTCTCTCTCTCTCTCTTTCTCCCCCTCTTTCTCCTTTTTTTTTCTCTTTCTCTCTTTCTTCCCCCTTGTTTCTTCTTTTTTTTTCACTTACCCCGAAGAACCGCGGAACGGATGAAAGCCAGGCGCATCAGGGATTCATGCTCGCGAAACTATTCATAGGATGAAGTTCTTAGGAAGTTAACGGAGCAACTTTTTGTAGCACGAGAAAGTTTAAACCCTCGTGTATGCAGCCGAAATCCTTTGCTAGGCCCCACTCGCCGTGATCTTGTTTTCTCGCCCGCTTTCTTCGCACCCCTTTACCTTCGGCCTGTCGCTTGCTCTGCCCCAACGCCATTTCTCTCTCCACCTGCCTGACGGCATACGTGAGCACGTCATCGCCGGACTTTCAATCCTCTTCTCGTCTTTCACGGTTCAACATGGAAATTTCGCGAATAAGTATGCCGCAACGAGATAAATGGAGCGAGGTAAACTTCGGCTTTACTTCTGATTGCGCCGCATCTCTAGGAAGTTTAACTAACCAACGGGGGTCAACTAGTTGGAAATGGAAATTCGGTTTATTCGATTGACGTAGCAAAGAGTCCATTGTTCAGACCGTTGCCGGTGCTGAATTTTTATTGACTCGTTGCCAAATTCTAAGTTGTTATTGGAGACAGGTCGCAATCAAGTCTAAACTTCAAACGAGCACAAAGTCGCTCGATGTTCTGTTCTGTACCGAAGCGAATCAATTTCGTTGCCGTTGCTAGAATTCTTCCGCGGAAACTTTTCCTATTAACTTTTTTAATAGCTCCGATTATACGGAACTAGAATTTATTGCCCAGAGAAAAAAAAAAAAAAAAAAGAAAAAAGAGAAACGAGAAGGCGTACGTAGCCTCAGGTTGCGTCATCGATTTTTCCCTCCCAACAACTTCCCGCCGGGCTTTTTCGTATTCTCCTTTTCCCTTCGCATCCAAATCGATGTCTGATAACTTGTAAAGATTTCTGTCGTGTTCCTTCCGCCCTTACCATCGTCGCCTGATGAAATCCCATTTGTAACTTGACACAACGGCTGTACGTATTCCGGGAGGGGAATTACGGTAATAATTTTTAACACGTATCTAACAGAGGCACATCGTTTGTTTTGCACTTTTAGCATCGGTAATGAGGTTCGATGACGTTGATTTATTAACCGGTAACCGGCCATAATGGCAAATAAGTGTTCGAAATGTGGAGCACGTGATAGCACGCAGATCTGTTACTCGTATCAGTAAATCTCATTGTCACCGATCGTTCCATTTACGCTTGATTTATACGCGTCTTACTCGCGTATTGGCTAAAAATCGCGTCCTCTGCAACAAATTTACCTACACGGTCATTCGCGAGTATGGACGCGTCCATCTTTAATTTGGTTCCTGCAAGATTTCGGATTACGATTGACTTTTCGCTTTTTTAATCTACGTCGGTAGCCTTGGTCAGTTTTCTGCGATAACATTTCGTTTAATTGACGAGCATACGAAGCCGAACGGTCTATCTGTAAGCGGAAATCGATCCGAAAACAATGTTTCTGTTTGCTTATTGATTTCCGATTGCAGCAGAGTATAAATGCATTGAATAGCTACAGTTTACCCGGGTACACAATGACAGTCGACGCAATTAAACGTTAGTTTGCACTGTCAGTAATGCAATTTCCGATTCGGCCGTTTTTCAGTAAATTGTATTTGGACGTAACACCGAAATTGATTTCGGCAAATACGGCTATTATTATTGCGGAGTCAACATTTGCTTATTTCCGACTACGTTCATTTTAAGCGTCGCTGATTTCCAAGGCTTCCGCGCGAATTCAGAAAAATAACCGTTGATTATCGTTCCCTAACGTTAAATGCGGATATTCGTTTGCCGTTATTCGCGCAGCTGGAGAGGAGACGAGAAATCGGCCAATTTTTTCGCAACGATGGAACAGCCAATGCACGTGGAGTCCATCGATATGCAATTTCTCAGATGTATTTCGATTCTGACCACCGGATAGGCTCGCATTTTGAATCAAACGATTTCGCGGTTTCGAGGGGATGTAATTTCAGCGAGTGCGGTTTTTACATTTATCGAGATTAGCTGTCCTCCCGGAAGCTTCCAAATTTAGCAGCTTTTTTTAATCATCCTTCTTCCCTGTTTTCCATTTTTTCCCTTCGCAGCGATAATCAATCGCTAAAATTCGGCTCACAGTTTCGTCGAGTAGACCGAATTCTCCGAGAGACCTGCTCGGAAGATTAAGCAAACTTCATTGGCTTAATGTTATCGGTGATTAAAGTGTCTCCATCTCGTTAGCAGGCTCTCGAGCATGTTTTGATATCGTTGACGAGAGTTTTTGGCCTGACGTTGACGTTCTTGTGTCGCGTGCTCTTGTCGCTTCTGCTTGTCTGAACAAATACCGACTTGTACTACTGTACCGGAGGTCTCGAACTTGCAACAACTTTCGCGGCGATGTTTATTTTTTCATAAAGTACCCTTTCGAGTAGGAGAAACTTCTGGAAATATTTATGCACTCGTGACAAAAGTTGTCTGTCAACGAACCGAACGATACACCACTGTCTGTCGATGAATGTCACCGACTACTCGTACAGTGCTCGATGCTCGAAGCACCGAGTTTCCGCTTAGCCCCTACCCTTTTCCCCGGTGTATCCTTTTTCTATCGATTATCAATGTTCGATCGAGTTCCTTGGGTACGTGTCCGCAAGTAGGAAGCATTGGACGACGTAGCATCTTCGTTTTCGGTGTCGGAAGGAGGGTCGATTTATCGGTCCTTTTGCATTCGTAAATCAAGGAGAATACATCCTTTCCGGTAACACGCGGGACAGAAGGCGTCTCGTTTACGTATCCGCTAAACCGAATACAGGAATCTATGGGCTCTTTCATCGTATCTTGAAAGATCTATACGGTCTCGGTTCAAAGAGTACGTCGACTGACCTTCTTGGACCTGCTACGTGGATTTGTCGCGCGCGGGAACTCGCGCGCGTGATCTATGCGGGACGTGTCAGGACGGAGGGAACGAGAGAGGGGAAATAATTTGGGGAAATGAAGAAAATAAAAGAAAGACAGGGGTAACTTGGGCAACGGGAAGTGGAGTATTTCGTACGCAATTACGGGTAGTCCCGCGGTGAAATTTTTGCGAGTCTGACTGGCGTTGCATGGAAGCCGACCTTGCACGCAACATAACGATATGCACTGTCAGACGCCGTCTTTCAAGTTAAACTATTCTCCACGTTGCCTGACCCATTTCACGTCTGGCACGTTGCAAAATATGGTAACGCATGGAAAATCAATTTACGTGGGTGCCTCGCGTGAAGAAGATTTCGTAGCGGAAGGTGATTCCAGGCTGATAAAATAAGATACGCGGCAGGCTATTAATATGCCCGATGAATATAATAATTCCTACTCGACTGGTATTTCTTATGCAATCGTTATCGCAAAATACATAATGTAGAGAGCGGCTTCGATTGGAATGAAAAACGAGCTCGGATCACACGATGCATCTATGCCGATCTCTCTTGACCTTTTCTGCCATTGATCAAGGGGTAGACTCGTAATTATAACTAACGGAGAAACGTGTTCGCGAATTCACCGCGAAAATTGCTGTCGCGAGTTCTAGTTTCTCTACGGATGACCGCGCAATGTATCCCCGACAGAATGCAAATGATCAATTAACCAGTTGTAAATCAATGCAACATAGCGGGCAAGCTTTATCTAGCTTCGCTGTCGACGCTTGGCTGGCCTAATGGCTGGCTGTCGGCTCTACGCTGGGCTCTTATTCTGTTTTCCCCTCTCCATCCACTCCAGTTCCCCGTCCCGCTCATTCTCATCCATCCCTCGTTAAGAATATTTATATCCAGGCCACGTTCACTGGAGAACCTTTGGAAAGTCGAAGGCCCACCCACGGGAATGGTCGGCAAAGATATTAAGCACTCTGAACCATACTTTCGTCCTTCTTTTTTTTTCAGCAATTACCTCTTTCCCAACGAGACAAAGCTTCTCGGTAATTATTGCGTCTACTCTTCTCCTTCCCTTTTTCCCCCCTTTTTCTTTTCCAGGTTATGCGTTTTAAGGGCGACGATTTCACACTAATTTTGTTACGTAATTCCACGTGACATTAACGAGTGCTTCCGTCTCTAGATGTCCGATACAATTGCTTCCCCGTGATGGAACCGCACCGCACAGCGAGTGCAGTCTTGACATACCTCATTTCAAATGTACGATTTGTGGGTTGAGCTTGCCAAGCAAGCAACCCCAATCAGGAAGCATCCATCGGCAGATACAAAATGTACGCGAAATTCCTCGATCGTTGCGGTCGTGTAGCTTCAATTATCCTACAGTATCCGTGCTATTCTCGATATTACGTCGAAGACATTTGCAGAATCTCACGGGAGGATCTCTCACCCATGGAATCATCGCGCAGCGTCGAATTGATCGCGCTCGAATTTCCAACGAAAGCGACACGCGAAGCGCCACTGACTCAACTTTATATCAACACCGAGAATTTTATTGCCAGCCATCTTTCTACAGTTAGACGAATCAGCCGCAGTTTGGCGTTCGATTTGCATTACCCCACGTCAGATCGCGTGCCGCACACTTTCTGGCCACGTACTTATTTCACCTACGAGTGTTCAATTTTTTTGTCCTCCCCCCCCCCCCCCCCC